CTTTCACACAATTTGTGTGCTTTTCAATAAATGTTAACTTTTTAAATAAATTGTAACTTTTTTTCATAAATCGTGAAATAAATAAAATTAATTAAAAGTTAAGAATAAAACGACTTATTCTTTACAATTATTATCACTAATTTATTTAATTGTTTAATTAATTGATACATTTCAAAATAATGTTGTAAAATTTTATTATGTTAAACTCATGACATTTTATAAATGTGCTACATGATTTCTTTATTTTAATTCAAAATTATAAATATATAATGATAAGAATTATTATTGGAGTAACTAAACAATCTAGTTTAATCTTTATGAAATTTTATCTAAACGCTTGTAGCTTAAATTTATATAATTTTAATTACAATTCTATAAGCATTTAATTATTTTAATTATTACTTTTAGATATAACTGATGAAATGCATATTCAATGTATTTACTAATTTATAGTATATTTTTATTTTAATATAAATGCTATGTTGCAAATAATATGCTTTGGCTAATATAACTATTTATAACTATCATAAATTAAATTACATATAATTAAATGACATTAATTAAGATAACGCCTGGGACTTGAATTTATATCAACTATAATCAAAATAATTTACTTTACTGTATAAACAACAATAAATTTAGTATCATCCCTAATAACAATTAATAATTGTGAAATATAAACTAAATACTGTATATATTATTATATTAAATTAAAATATAATGACCAGGTTCAATATTAATAATATAAAGAAACAATAATATTAAAATAAATATATATTGCATAAATATGAATATTTAAAAAACAATTATTTTTCATTTGTGCTAATAACACAAAATAAATATTCCAATATAAGACAATATATAAAACTAACTTAAAATGCAACCCTGGGCACATCACACAAGATAACAATCATCATGCACAAAGTTTATTACAATTTTAATCACGCACTAAATGAATGGACCATTTATTGTATACCAAAGGTATTCCGCAAACATTGTATAAAAAGAGGAGAAAAACCTTTTGATAAAACAAGTAAAAGTTTTTTGGCAAAAAACTATGAAGACTGCAACAGCGCTGGTGGTGTGTATGGCGGTAGCCGTGGCCCAGGCCTACATCCCGATGGGTCCGCCGGTGGCCAGGAGTGCGGGCGGCCGTGTGGTGGGCGGCAAACCCGCTACCAAAGGCCAGAATCCGTGGCAAATCTCGCTGAACGCCAACTCGTGGTTCGGCAAGAGTCACATCTGCGGCGGTTCTCTACGGGACGCCAACACCGCCATCACCGCTGCCCACTGTTGCGACGGGTCAGTAGTTATTTGTTTTTTATTTTACCATGTTTATATACTTTTGTTTTACTATTTGCATTTACTATATTTTGCACCCAACATTTTTGGATAGTTTTAGACAACTTATTATTATTAATAAGTTATTATGCATAGCATGATAATAAATAATTTGGTGATTAGTACCACTCTTGGCTAAACTAATAATGATTAAACTAGTCGACATTATTTAATTATAGCATTTAATAAAATGCTAAACATATATTTACAAATCATTAATTTCTAAATGGTCATTTTTTGTACCTGGACCCATTATAGCCAAACAGATCTGTATGTGTTGTGGGGCGGTTTGGACCGAACTAAACTGGCCAACGAGCGCAAAGTGAGCAAGATCCTGGGCCACCCTCAGTACAACGGAAACACCATTGACTACGACTACTGTCTATTGAAGTTGGCCTCACCCGCGGCCGAGAGCGACGGCGTTCAGTTCGCAACACTGGCCAGTACTAGTCCGGCCGACGGCGCCAACGCCCTGTTGACCGGTTGGGGCAAAACGTCCGGGTCGTCGAGCGCACTGCCCACCGCACTCCAGGCCGCCAACTTCGCTATTGTGAGTCAGGCCAATTGCCACAGTTTGTGGTCCGATGTGAACACGGTCACTCCCCGTATGATTTGCGCCGCCCATCAATCGGCCAGTGGTTGCAATGTAAGTTGGATAGTTTATAATTTTTAACTTGGGTGTTTTTTACTTGTTTATCCAGCTATTATTATTTCTATTTTAGTTTAGTATAAAAATTGAGGTTGTTCTTATTTTTAAATGTTAATATTAATGATGGTTTGTTTGTTTGAAATAATGCACTAGGGTGATTCGGGTGGTCCGTTGAGCGTGGGTAATGAGTTAGTTGGTATTGTCTCGTGGGGTTCAAATGGGTGTCCGGCCGACACCACTAAGCGGCCAACGGTTTACGCCGATGTGGCCAATCAGCGAACGTGGCTCTCGCAGACTGTTGCTTAAAAGCAGTTTGGTCAATTTAGCTACAAAATAATATTACTATATGGAATAAAAATATACATGGCCTGGTTTTGGACACGATTATCGATATTGTTGCCTTTTCTGTATTAATTAATACCGGGGCCTAAGCTCTGGTATATACAGAATTTATTATTTAAAGTTATTGTTATCTAGGTTTATTTTTATTCAATAATTTGGCAAATTGTATCACTTTTTGAACAAGCATTCAACTAATCATTCAATTAATTATTTAATGTAAATTTATTTTTTATTTATTTGTATATCTATTATAAATTTGTAATAATAAATGTTAAATGTTTTTTGAATGAAACAAATATGTTGTTATTTATTTTATTAATACATTTGATATGTTTTAAAATGTCAAATTTAATCTTAATTTCATAAAAACCTAAACCTTTCTATACAACCATGAAATATATTATAGATAAATCATTTATAACTAAAAATGTTTTATATTTCACCCAGATTTTTGATCATAAAGTTTGCAAAACATAATTAATAATTATGTGTAATACAAATTATACAATTCATTAAAGTAAAGTTACATTAATTTACTTATTATCTCATATCAAATAAATTGTTAATTATTATTTTATTTAAAGTTAAAAATATAAAATTTCTTATCAATAATTATCTTTAAATAAAAACATATTTCAGCATATTAGATCACTTGTACTAAAATTATTAAATCATTTATTTAACTATACACAAGTAACATTTTGTACGCTTCAATTTGCACTTACACAAATAACATTTACACAAAATATAATGTACTTAATCTAAATTATTAATTAATGAATTGAAATTAATTGTATTTTCATTATGGTGAATAAAAACAACATCCGTAATTAAAAATCATAAAACACTAAAGTATTGCTAAATAATGAATTTATCACTATGTTTTTCAATTTTAGATATATAAAAATTTATTAATTTACAATCGTATAAAATCATAAAAAAACATCACAATTCATATACAATAAATTGTAGAAACAATTGTATATAAACTAAAGTAATTTTAATTTACAACACAATTCTCTACAATTTTTATATTAAAAGACATTATGAGGGCTGCGATAGCGTTGGCGGTGGGCCTGTGTTTGGCACAGATTGCGTACGGTTTTGTCGAGATCTCACCCAAGTATGGGCCCAAGTCGTTGGGTCGTATGGGCAGTCGTGTGGTGGGCGGCACACCCGCCAGTGCCAGTCAGTCACCGTTTCAGGCGTCGCTAAATGCCGAGGGTTGGTTTGGTTGGAGTCACATATGTGGCGGTTCATTGGTTGGCAAACGGTCAGTGATTACGGCCGCACATTGCTGTGATGGGTAAGTAGTTTAATACTAATCAATTAAATAGTCAATCAACTCTCTCTCTCTCTCTCTCTCTCTCTCT